GGAGAACCATGACGCCGATGTCTGTCACAGATCTGGCACTGGATGAATGAATCTTGATTACACTTGAAGAGTTCATAAGCAGCTTGTCAGTTATTAGTCACAAAAAGAACATTGTGGGCAACTGCCTTTCTATTAAAAGGTCGTGTGGACTACTATCGTTCTTTCCTTGCAACAGGTGTTTTATAAATACAACACATGTGTGACGACAGCACTGTCTTCCCGAGTGGCAGGAGACAAAATTAAATAGGGGTGATATGTTAATGATACTAGTGAATACGTGTCTTTGTGTATGGGAATGTTGCCTTACGAACCACTATTAGGAAAAGATTTAAATCTAGTCTATCATCTGATTCCCTGTAAAGACTTCTCTGTTGACACCCACCCCTTGGCGCTCATATGACCTTATGTAGTTGCGAGCGCTGTAAAACCCTCTACTATAACCCTCCCCCCCCAAAAAAAACCCCCAACTAGTCTATCAATTAAAACAATAAACCAATAAAAAAAACTTAGCAGTATACTAACATTGTTTAATCTTTTCCAGGTTCAGAAAGAGATGTAATACAGTCTTTAGACAAAGGACCAGTGGGAGTGTATTATTTCAAAAGACACATAATGTTTCATAACTTTGCTTTTTTATTTCCTACGTTTCGGGGGAAAAATAAAATGAGAGTAAATACAACCTTAAAAATGTCCCAGCTCTCGTTTGCACACTTTGACTCATTCTTTGTTAACCCCCCCAATAAAACGTGTTTCACAAGAGCACTTTCGGACTTTTTCATAAATTTGACTCTACACAGAGTTGCTGTTAGGTTGGGCTCTTATTACATCCACACATGATTAATTAAAAGGATTTGAGAACGAATAGCATCATCAGCTATAATATGATTGGAGAATATATCGTGACAGTTCTTATGCCTGTGTAATAAGAACCTCTGAAGAAACCCGACTCCAGTCAAAAGTAACAAAATTAAGGAGATAAAAGGGGGTTTGATTAAATATTTTACTGTGGTTTCCAAAAGCAAAAGATGTTATTATTCTTGATTTCCCAGGATATAAAGTATAGATTACGATATCATACGGAGATTATGTAATTCATTATAGAAAAATGGGGAAACGAATAAAAGCAAAAAGGTAATTTCTTTATGCTTCCTTTAAAATGTAGTGTTCGACAAACCCATCAGGTTTGAAAACACACACACACACACACACACACATACACACATACACA